CTCGGCGTAGCTAAGGTGCAATTGTGCTGTGAAGCGCAGTTAGAATGTATTCATGGGACCTTCGTCTCCTCCGCGCTTTTTGCATGTTTGACATCAAAGTGGCCCCTGTCCTCCTTTTTGTTTTTTTTGGACAGACTTTCGTTCTTCTTGCCCAGGCTGGAGTGCGTAGTGGGTCGGATCTTGGCTCACTGCAACCTCTGCCTTGCTGGATTCAAGCAGTTCTCCCTGCCTCAGGCTCCTGAGTAGCTGGGATTACAGGCACCCGCCACCATGCCTGCGGTAATTTTTTTGTTTAAGGTATTATTGATTTGATTTCTAGCTAGAGATGTGTTGGAGAGCGGTTTCCCCCATCGTTGCCAGTGGTCGTTCGAGGGACGTGTCTTGACGCTCGCAGGTGGGATCCACGTCGACCTTGCCTGCCGTAAGAAGCTGGTTATTTTTAATTTTTGTAGAAACAGGCTCCCATATTGCCCAGGCTGGTTTCAAACTCCTGGGCTCAAGGGATCCTCTCACCTCAGCCTCCCAAAGTGCTGGGAATTCAGGCATGAGCCACCATGCCTGGCCTACTTTCCTTTCAGAAGGGACATAGAGAAATAATGTTTTAGAGTTATGAGGCTAGTTCTTCAGGGGTTCATTTTATTACACAGTCAAGTAAATGCATGTTGAATGAATTCTGTCCCAATTGAATGCCAGCAGATGGGGGACCCAGGCCTGACTGCGCTTCATGATGTTGGTCAAGTGATTTAAGCCTCTCTAGTGTCGGTTTGCTTATAAAACGAAGAGGTTGAAATCCATGAGTTTCATGTTTATTTAAATAGAGTAAAAGTTTGTGAATTGTGAAATTAGATTCACTCTTCTTCCTTCTGTTCTTTCTGGAACCCAAATAGATTGCTGAACTATGAATGAAAATGGTTTGATTTCCAGTAGTTCTTATTTTATTTTATTTTATTATTTATTTATTTATGAGACAGAGTTTCGCTGTTGTCACCCGGGCTAGAGTGCAGTGGGGAGATGTCAGCTCACTGCAACCTCCACCTCCCAGATTCAAGTGATCGTCCTGTCTCAGACTCCTAGGTAGCTGGGATTACAGGTGCCCGCCACCATGCCTGACTAATTTTTATATTTTTAGTAGAGATGGGGTTTCACCATGTTGGCCAGACTGGTCTCAAACCGCTGACCTCAGGTGATCTGCCCACCTCAGCCTCCCAAAGTGCTGGGATTACAGGCTTGAGCCACCACGCCCAGCCAGATTTCCAGTAGTTCTTACTGCTGATGAATTTTTGTATTATTTCCTTATTGATGGAGCTGGGGTTTTTTGGCTACATTCACCAGCCCCTTCCTCTACTCATCTCCTTTCTCCTTCATCCCCCAAACAAAAGTTAGCCGTTTTAGATACCAGGTTCTGGAAGGTATCGAAGAACTGTGGGGTCACGAAAAGGCTCCGTGTGGACTGGGATTGTTGCTATTGTGGGACGCAAGTGCTCCACTTATGACAAATGAATTCATTTATTAATTAATTTCATCTAGCAATACCTGAAATTCTTCTGGGTGTTTCTCATTACCAGTTTTACCCTAAGAAAGAAGACTTGAATTGTTTTTTTGTTTTAAACCACTCCAATACAGTGAATTGTGTTTGGTTCTGACCTGCAGTAGAGGGGCTGTCTCCAGTTTTGAACCATTTGTGATTTTTAACACTTTACTACCGTCTGTCTAATGTTAGTGAAAAAGTTGGTGTGTATAAATGACATTATTGAACAAATGTTATTTATTTCAATTTGACAGGTGAAGATTAGTGCATTAGAAGGATATAGAGGCCAAAGAGTAAAGGTGTTTGGCTGGGTCCACAGGCTGCGTAGGCAAGGTAAATGGTAAAGCTTTTCCTTCTTTGTAATTTTTAAATATCTCTGGTCTTAGATGAAGAAAAACACAGATTTGCAGGGGTTTTTTTCTGCCTTTTTTTTTTTGAGACAGAGTCTCACTTTGTTGCCCAGGCTGGAGTGCAGTTGTGCTATCTTGGCTCACTGCAACGTCCGCCTCTCAGGTTCAAGCAATTCTCCTGCCTCAGCCTCCTGAGTAGCTGAGATTACAGGTTACCTGCCACCACACCTGGCTGATTTTTGTAATTTTAGTAGAGACAGTGTTTCACCATGTTGGCCAGTCTTGTCTGGAACTCCTGGCCTCATGTGATCCATCATCTTGGCCTCCCAAAGTGCTGAGATTACAGGTATGAGCGCTTATGCCCGGCCCTCTTTTTTTTTTTTTTGGTATGCTGGCTAGAACTCCCCCCAGCCATCCTGCTGCCTCAGCCTGAGCAGCTGCGATTACAGGCACATAGCACCTCACCTGGCTTTAAAGGATAGAGTGATTTATATCTTAAATTTGTTCTTATTTAAAATGACTATTGAAAGTATAAAAATTTTTAAATGCTATTTTAGCAGTTAGCAATTACAGTGATGAAGACACGTCCAGTAAATATTTGTCAAGTATTTGTCAAATTGGGAGGATCGCTTGAGCCCAGGAGGCAGAGGTTGCAGTGAGCAGAAACTGCACCGCTGCACTCCAGCCTGAGCAACAGAGCGAGAAAGGAGATGAGTAGAGGAAGGGGCTGGTGAATGTAGCCAAAAAACCCCAGCTCCATCACTAAGGAAATAATAGAAAAATTCATCAGCAGTAAAAACTACTGGAAATCTGGCTGGGCGTGGTGGCTCAAGCCTGTAATCCCAGCACTTTGGGAGGCCGAGATGGGCGGATCACGAGGTCAGGAGATCGAGACCATCCTGGCTAACACGGTGAAACCCCGTCTCTACTAAGAATACAAAAAAAACTAGCCGGGCGAGGTGGCGGGCACCTGTAGTCCCAGCTGCTCCGGAGGCTGAGGCAGGAGAATGGCGTAAACCTCCTGGGAGGTGGAGCTTGCAGTGAGCTGAGATCCGGCCACTGCACTCCAGCCTGGGCGACAGAGCGAGACTCCTCAAAAAAAAAAAAAGTGGGATGGGCCAGGTGCGGTGACTCACACCTATAATCCCACTACTTTGGGAGGCCAAGGTAGGTGGATTGCCTGAGGTCAGGAGCTCAAAACCAGCCTGGCCAACATGGTGAAACCTTGTCTCTACTAAAAATACAAAAATTAGCCAGGTGTGGTTGTGGGAACCTGTAATCCCAGCTACTCGAGAGGCTGAGGCAGGAGAAGCAGTTGAAGCTGGGAGGTGGAGGTTGCAGTGAGCTGAGATCATGCCATTGTACTCCAGCCTGGGCAACAAAAGCGAAACTCCCTCTGAAAAAAAAAAGCGGTCAGGAGGGGACAAAAAATACAAATGAAATGTTTTAAGTAGATTTCAGTAATGGACCTTTGAGACATAAATAAGAGAAAGTGATTTTGTTCAAGAACATTTATGCATCACCCACTGAGTGCACAGTACTACACCAGACATTGCAGGGGATTCAAGGGTGGATAAGGCGTAATGCCTTAACTCATGTTGCCTTCTGTCTTGCTTTCCCCTGGTTGTATGGATCTTGGGGATCATGTAGGATTTGAAAGTCTAAAACACTGAAAATAAAATATTTTACAAATACTGAGTAGTGGTATTACCAGTGGTTACTTCACGGGTAGGGAGCCATGTGGGAGGTCTGAACTTCAGTGTTCAACCTTGGAGTTTCCTTTAGATAAGATTAAGTCATGCCTGGGTGCAATGGCTCATACCTGTAATCTCAGCACTTTGGGAGCCTGGGGTAGGAGGACTGCTTGAGCCCAGGAGCTTGAGACCAGTCTGGGCAACACAGTGAGACCTCTGTCACTACAAAATAATTAGCCAGGTGTGGTGGCATGTGCCTGTAGTCCCAGCTATCTGGGAGGATAAGATGAGAGGTTTGCTGGAGCCCAGGAGGCTGCTGTGAGCTGTGATTGTGCCGCTGCACTCTAGCCTGAGTGACAAAGTGAGACCCTATCTTTAAAATTATTTATATATTTATTTATTTATATATATATATATAAAAAAAATTTGGTGCTTTGAGAACAGTCTGCCTAAATTATTATTTCTCATTTTTAGGAAAGAATTTAATGTTTCTGGTGTTGCGAGATGGTACAGGTTATCTTCAGTGTGTCTTGGCGGATGAGTTGGTAAATATTTTCTCTTACTTATGCCTGAAAATTAGATGTTTTCAGTAGATTCCTCTATTGTTCTGGGAATTCTAGAATCTATACATTTATTTAAAATTTTTATTTTGTTGACAATGAATGTCAATAAATCAAAACATCACATTGTATACTATAAACATGCAATTTTTATTTGTTTATTATACCTTAATAAGGCTAGGGGAAGAAAACTTTTATGGAAAATTTCCAGCACATTAAAAAATAGAACCATATAAAAAAATCCTCAAATGCTCATCACCCAGCTTCTGTAACTACCAGTATATGGCTAATCCTGGTAAGATATTGCCTCTCAGACATCATATCATTTAAATACACATGCTTATGCATCTCTAAGAAAAATAATGTGGCTGGGCATGGTGGCTCACACCTGTAATCTCAACACTTCGGGAGGCTGAAGTGGGCAGATTGCTTGAACCCAGGAATTTGAGACCAGCCTGGTAGCATGGTGAAATCCTGTCTCTACAAAAGATACAAAAATTAGTCAGGTGTGGAGGCAGAGGTTGCAGTGAGCCAAGACGATGCCACCACCCTCCAGCCTAGGCAATAGAGTGAAACCTTGTCTCAAAAAAAAAAAAAAGAAAGAAAGAAGGAAAGATAATATAGTCACCTACTATTATCACACCCTCCACCAAATTAATACAACTACTAAATATGATCTAATATCCAGATTCTTATCAGTTCATACTGCCTTTTTATAGTTGGTTGATTTGAATGAGCATTCTAACAAGATTATCATGCTGCATTTAGTAATATGACTTTGAAATTTTCTTTATAACTCTGCTGCTCCCTTTGCATGTTCTTTTCTGCTCTCACCCACCCATTGATATAGATTTGTTGGGAAAACCCTGGTGGATTGTCCTGTGGAACTTCTCACATTCTGGATTGTGGTTGGTTTGCATCCTTGTGGTGTTCTTTAGCATGTTCTTCTAGTCTCTGTATTTTTTATAAATTGGAGGTGGAGGTTAAGTCTGTTAGGTTCAGCTTTTTGGCACAACTACTTGGGCAAAGCTACGTTCTTTAGTTGCATCAACGCAAGAGGCACGTAAGGTGTGGTTGTGTTTTTTTTTTTTTTTTTTTTTTTTTGAGACAGATTCTTGCTCTGTCACCTATGCTGGAGTGGCAGTGGCATGATCTCAGCTTGGTGCAACCTCTGCCTCACAGATTCAAGTAATGATCTCTTGCCTCAGCTTCCCGAGTAGCTGGGACTACAGGCATATGCCACTACACCCAGCTATTTTTTTTGTTTTTAGTAGAGACAGGTTTTTGCCATATTGGCCAGGCTGGTCTTGAACTCCTGACCTCAGGTGATCTACCCGCCTCAGCCTCCCAAAGTGCTGTGATGATAGGTGTGAGCCACCATGCCTGGCTGGTTGTCTTTTTTATGACTAGTGGGTTCAGGTGTTGGCAGCCTGACTTCTTCCTTTCAGAGTCCCCTATCAATTTTTTCTTAATGACTTTAGTAAAAAGTGATTATAGTGTAGATGGGCTCTGTATGGTTTTTGTTTGTTTGTTTGTTTGTTTGTTGTTTTGAGACACAGGGTTTCTCAAAAAGAGTGCAGTGGCGTCATCATAGCTCATTGCAGCCTCGACTTCCCAGGCCCAAGCAATTCTCCCATCTCAGCCTCTCAAGTAGTTAGGACTATAGGCAAGAACCACCACACCCAGCTAATTTTTATTTCTCTCTCCCTTTGTTGTCCAGGCTGGTTTTGAACTCCTGGGCTCCAGTGAGCCTCCCACCTCAGCCTCCCAAAGTGTTGGGATTACAGGCATGAGCCACTGTGCCCAACCTGTATGTTACTTTAATAGTCTAGATTTTTATAAATAAATAAATAGACTGTCCAGATATTTTTAAGTGATGTGGGTCAGTGTTGTTTATTCATATGTATGTAAAGTGTGTATTTACATGTATATGTTTATATTTACGTGTATATGTGTATATATAGATAAACCTCTGTCTTCCACAAAAATAGCTATATTTTAATATTAATAATACGTGGCCATCTCACTCTTTATTTTACTAGTATTTGATCAGATAACTTGTTTGTAAATAATCCCTTTGATTTTCTATATGGTAGAATTTTTAAATCAATGTGAATAGCTAAAGTTGAGCTTTGACCTTTGTATAGTGTCAGTGCTACAATGGAGTACTGTTGTCCACGGAGAGCAGTGTTGCAGTGTATGGAATGCTAAATCTTACCCCAAAGGGCAAGCAGGTGAGTGGATTGAGTTTTGCACTGGGTGAACGAATAGTTTATTTATTGGTTTGCTTTCCAGTGTCTTGGTTTGTACCTTTGGCATATGTATTAGGGTTCTTCAGAGGCACAGAGCTGGTGGGATAGATGTATATATGAAAGGGAGTTTTTAAGGAGAATTCACTCAGAAGATCACAAGATGAAGTCCCACGATAGACCATCTGCAAGCTGTGGAGCAAGGAAGCCAGTAGTGGCTGAGTCCAAGTTCAAAAGCCTCAAAAGTAGGGAAGTGGACAGGGCAGCCTTCAGTCTGTGGCCGAAGGCCCAAGAGCCCCTGGCAAAGTACTAGTGTAAGTCCAAGAGTCCACAAGCTGGAGAACTTGGAGTCTGATGTTCGATGACAGGAAGCCTCCAGCACGGGAGAAAGATGAAGGCCGGAAGACCTGGCAGGTCTGCACTTCCACCTTCTTCCTCCTGCTCTTTCTAGCGAGGCTGGTAGCCGTTTGGGTGATGCCCACCCACACTGTGGGTGGATCTGCCTCTCCCAGACCACTGACTTAAATGTTAATCTTCTCTGGCAACACCCAGATACACCCAGAAAATACTTTGTATCCTTCATTCCAATCAAGTTGACGCTTAATATTAACCATCACAGCATATAAATACAATAAATGTGAAGTACATGTCATATTCGGTATGCCTTTTCCAGTGAAATATGTACATTATACAACTCGTGATAAAAAGAATACAATGATTTCCAGCCTTACAGAATTCCTGAATCATCCTCATGGGCTATCATATAGCCACTGTGCTATAGATATATGAATTACTTTTCAGCCAGATGGAAATAAAAACTTAACAACCCACCTAAAAATTTTCAGAGAATTTCTTAATAGAATTTGAGAGGCTGTTTTTTTTGTTTTTTGTCTTTTTTTGAGACAGACTTTCACTGTTGTTGCCCAGGCTGGAGTGCAATGGCATGATCTCCACTCACCGCAACTTCTGCCTCCCGGGTTCAAGCGATTCTTCTGCCTCAGCTTCCCAAGTAGCTAGGATTACAGGCATGCACCACCATGCCTGGCTAACTTTGTATGTTTAGTAGAGACGGTATTTCTCCATTTGGTCAGGCTGGTCTCGAACTCCAAACCTCAGATGATCCACCCACTTCAGCCTCCCAGAGTGCTGGGATTACAGGCGTGAGCCACCGCACCCAGCCAAATAAAGTGGTTTTTATGGCACCAAGATAATTATACGTTCCATATATGTGACTTATAAAATGAATTGCTTTCTAATGTAATTATTAGGGAGAATTTGAATTTTTACTATATATATGTTTCAAAGATAAACAGCTTTTAATAAAACCTTTGCATTTTAGAAGTTAATATGTGCAAATACATTAATTTAAAGTAGGTGAGTAAGGCTGGGCGTGGTGGCCCATGCCTGTAATCCTAGCACTTTGGGAGGTTGAGGCAGGTGAATTGCCTGAGCTCAGGAGTTTGAGACCAACCTGGGCAACTTGGCGAAACCCTGTCTCAACTAAAAATACAAAAAATTAGCCAGGTGTGGTGGTGCGCACCTGGAAACCTCAGCTACTTGGGAGGCTGAGGCATGAGAATTGCTTGAACCCAGGAGGCAGAGGTTGCAGTGAGCTGAGATTGTGCCACTGCACTCCAGCCTGAGTGACAGAGTGAGAGTCCATCTCAAAAAATAAATAAATAAATAAAAATAAAGTAGGTGAGTAGAAGCTGGAAAAATATATCAGCATGTTAACAGTAGTTAGTAGGGACTCCAGGTTGTGGGATTACAGTTTATTTTATAGTTTGTGCATTTCTTTTCTTTTCTTTTCTTTTTTTTGAGATGGAGTCTCCCTCTGTTGCTCAGGCTAGAGTGCAGTGGTGCAGTCTCGGCTCACTGCAACCTCCACCTCCCGGGTTCAAGCAATTCTCCTGCCTCAGCCTCCTGAGTAGCTGGGACTACAGGTGTGCACCACCATGCATGGCTAATTTTTGTATTTTTAGTAGAGATGGGGTTTCACCATGTTGGCCAGGATGGTCTTGATCTCCTGACCTTGTGATCTGCCCACCTCGGCCTCCCAAAGTACCGGGATTACAGGTGTGAGCCACCGTTCCGAGCCACAAATATCTTTTAAAAATAGAAATGCACAGACTGGGTGTGGTGGCTCACACTTGTAATCCCAGCACTTTGGGAGGCTGAGGCGAGCAGATCACGAGGTCAGGAGATTGAGACCAGCTTTGCCAACATGGTGAAAACCCGTTTCTACTAAATATGCAAAAATTAGCCAGGTGTGGTGGGTGCCTGTAATCCCAGCTGCTCAGGAGGCTGAGGCAGGAGAATCACTTGAACCCAGGAGGCGGAGGTTGCTGTGAGCCAAGATTGTGCCACTGCACTGCAACCTGGGCAACAGAGCGAGACTCCATCTCAAAAAAAAGATATTTGTGTGTATGTGAGTGTGTATCCAGAAAGAATATTCATAAAAATATCAATATAAAACTAAAGTAAGGCTGAGAATTATGAGGTTCTTAAAAATCTCAGCTTACCAAAACTTTGATTAAAATCCTCAATACTGTTAATTTTTTATTTCCTTTTCCTTCTTTCTCTGGACCCCACTTTTTAAAAATGCAGGCTCCAGGTGGCCATGAGCTGAGTTGTGACTTCTGGGAGCTAATTGGGTTGGCCCCTGCTGGAGGAGCTGACAACCTGATCAATGAGGAGTCTGACGTTGACGTCCAGCTCAACAACAGACACATGATGATCCGAGGAGAAAACATGTCTAAAATCTTAAAAGCGCGATCCATGATCATCAGGTGCTTTAGAGATCACTTCTTTGATAGGGGGTACCATGAAGTAAGTATGTGTTCGTCAACTTTTGCAAACAATACATTTTTTGCCGTTTTGAAACTTGAATAGTGGTGCTCACGATAGACACTGATTTACTCCTTCTTTGCATTTAAACAGGTTACTCCTCCATCATTAGTTCAAACACAAGTAGAAGGTGGTGCCACACTCTTCAAGCTTGACTATTTTGGAGAAGAGGCATTTTTGACTCAATCCTCTCAGTTGTACTTGGAGACCTGCCTCCCAGCCCTGGGAGATGTTTTTTGTATTGCGCAGTCATACCGGGCAGAGCAGTCCAGAACACGAAGGCACCTGGCTGAGTACGAAATTGTCTTTTTGTTTTTATTTCTTTTTAGTTAATATCTTTAGAGAAGAAATCTTAGTGTAGGTAAATTATGTCTGTTTAAAAAAACCAAAAAACTGATATATTAAGTGGTTAACGGAAGAACATATAACAAAGTTTTGCCACCTTAGATCATAGCTAAGGTCTCTTTTTTCACTTTGACTTGATCTTTTATATATGAAGGAACAAACAGGAAATTGCTACTCAGTGGAGAAGAGGGGAGTCCACAGCTAATTTGCAAAGCTGGGAATTGGTAGCATTGTTGGAATTTTATGGACAGCTTCCCGATGTTAAAAGCCTTGCTGGAGGAAAAAACAGTGCGGGAGAAAAGCAGTTCTGAACTAGTGTCTTGTTCTTCAGGTACACTCACGTGGAAGCCGAGTGTCCTTTCCTGACCTTTGAAGACCTCCTGAACCGGTTGGAGGACTTGGTTTGTGATGTGGTAGATCGAATATTGAAGTCTCCTGCAGGGAGCATAGTGTATGAGCTCAACCCGGTAGGTACAGTGTTTATGGAAAGAAAAAGTCACAGTCCTTTTTTGGAAGACAATGAAGTCGTCATCCTCAGTTTTTGTAGATTTGATGGCTTGGTGAGCTGAAATAAGTGACTAATTATTTTGAAGACTAGAATTTGATGTTAGTCATTGTCGATAATTTTATAATGTTTTCAGTTATGTAAGAAGAGACTCATGTTTTCCATTTTAGGAATATCTACATAGTTCTCTAGTCTGACGTTTTCTATATATATATATATGTGTGTGTGTGTATATGTATTTTTTTTTTTTGAGACGGAGTCTCACTCTGTCACCCAGGCTGGAGTACAGTGGCGTGATCTCTGCTCACTGCAACCTCTGCCTCCCAGGTTCAAGCTATTCTCCTGCCTCAGCCTCCTGAGTAGGTGGGATTACAGGAGCCCACCACTACCCCCAGCTAATTTTTGTATTTTTAGTAGAGATGGGGTTTTACTGTGTTGGCCAGGCTAGTCCCAAACTCCTGACCTCAAGTGATCTGCCCACCGCAGCTTCCCAAAATCCTGGGATTACAGGCATAAGCCACCACCCCTAACTGAAGTAATATTTTATAATAATAATATTTTATAATAATAGTTTTTAATGGAAATTTTAGTGTTAATGTTTACATTTACGTATATACACATTATATTTTTCCTTTCTTCTATAGAACTTTCAGCCCCCCAAACGGCCTTTCAAACGGATGAACTATTCAGATGCTATCATTTGGCTAAAAGAACATGATATAAAGAAAGAAGATGGAACTTTCTATGAATTTGGAGAAGTATGTATTCCTTTCTCTCATTGTTTCCAAGGTGGGATTGGGCTCCAGTTCTCTTCTTCTGGTTAATGAACTAGTAATGTGGGTGGCATCTGCCTGTCCTCAAATAAATGGTAACAGCAGAACCTGCTTCATGGGGTTGCCTGCAGATTCACTGAGTTAACAGAGTCAGCCTTAGGACAGTGCCTGTTCTGTAGCGTCTGGTAAGTGTGAGTGAGTGTCTTTTTTTGTTTGTTTGTTTTTTGTTTGTTTTGAGACAGAGTCTCACTCTGTTGCCCAGGCTAGAATGCAGTGGCATGATCTCGGCTCACTGCAGCCTCTGCCTCCTGGATTCAAGCAATTCTCCTGCCTCAGCCTCCCGAGTAGCTGGGACTACAGGCGCGTACCACCACGCCCAGCTAATTTTATTATTTTTAGTAGAGACAGGGTTTCACCATGTTGGCCAAGATGGTCTCGATCTCTTGACCTCGTGATCCGCCCGCCTCAGCCTCCCAAAGTGCTGGGATTATCGGTGTGAGCCACCGCTCCTGGCCAAGTGTGAGTTTCTAAGCTGCCTTCACGTCTCCTGCTTTGCCTCTTCCCTCTTCCTTCATTGTTCTTCCTTGGCCACAGCTTATAAACTCTTCTTATTCTCTAGGCTGGCAGGAGTGCTTTAGAAGGTTGTGAAGCCTTTGAAATCACATGCAAAATGATGGTATATAGATATATATGTATATTTTTTTTCTGGAGAATGTATCTTTTGCCTTTAAAAAGAGGTTCATCCCCTCCCCCCAAAACAGTGATTTAAAGCTCCTTAATGTGGAAGATGAGAAAGAAGATAGCCATTGGTTAAAAATGCAAAACCAAGAGAGAAGGTCTTGGAAAAGGTAGCCTAGTGCCCCAGATAAACTTAGCATTTCGGTTTTGCCTGAGAACCACTCTCCCAGCATGCACTTGGATTGCAAGTTTTCTTTCTTTGGGACAGCGTCTCCATCTGTCGTCCAGGCTGGAATGCATGGGTGCGATCATAGCTGGCTACAACCTTGAACTCTAGAGTTCAAGTGATCCTCCTACATCAGCCTCCAAAAGTGCTGGGATTACAGATGTGAGACACCACGCCCAGCTAATTTTTTATTATTTATAGAGATGGCATCTCCCTATGTTGGCCCAGGCTGGTCTCAAACTCCTTGGCTCAAGCAATCCTCCTATCCCGGCCTCCCAAAGTGTTGGGATCACGGGCGTGAGCCACCATGTCCGGTTCAAGTTTTCAACGCTATGCTAGGCCCTCTTTCCTATGCGTTTAACCATTACTTACGTAATATTTGCACATCTAATTGTTTTACAGTTGAAATGTGTGTAGCTGCTACTAACTACTTTTGGGTTTTAGAAGGAATTAATAGAAACAATATACTAGGTCTATGTAAAGCACTTTTATTGTTTCTGTGAATTCAGTTTTTTTTTCTTTTTTAAAGAGATGGAGGTATTGCTTTGTTGACTGGGCTGGTCTCAAACTCCTGGCCTCAAGCAATCCTCTCACCTCAGCCTCCTGAGTGTTGAGATTATAGTGTTGAGATTATAGGCATGAGCCACACTGTATAGTGTTGATATTATAGATGTGAGCCACACTGTGCCCAGCCTGTGAATTCAGTTTATGATGTATAATGACAAAATTTTGTATTGAGAACTTGAATACTTTTAATGTACTTAATACTTAGTAAAATAGTGTAGTTGAGTGGAAGGAACACAAGCTGTGGAGTCAGAAGCCCCCCAGGTGGGCTTAGCTCCCACTTTTGTGCTGTGTAACTGAAGACCAGTGACCCCCTCTCAAGTTCCTTATCTTTACCTTGGAAGTAACATCCATTTTGTAAGATTGTGGGGACTACAGGAGCAAAATGCCTAGCCAGGACAATGGCAGGGGAGCCTGTCAGCATTTACTATACATTGCTATTCCACACACATGAGGACACTAGAGTAGATACATGGCCTTCAGGCTTTTGGGGGGTATGAAATAAGACCTGTTTTCCCCTAACTAAATCTTATGCAGAACCCCGCTGTGTAAAGCAGATGCAAGCTGAGAGACTAGAGCTCTCCTGCTCATCTCCTGTTGCCTCTCGGCGTCTCCAAGGACGCAAGGGCTCCAGGGCCCGGAGCTTGAAAACAGGTGTGCTGGGTGATTGCTACCTCCATTTCACTTCTTCATTAAACAAATCTACGAGTCTTCTCCAGTTCTCTCAATCCGTTTTTACTGGGACAAGACTTTTCAGTTTTAACTTATGTGTTAACTTTATGTGTGGTACAGAAGGATGTTTTGAGAGAGAAACTAATGAGCTTGAGTCATCATCTAACATTGTTTGGCTAACTATTCCAGGTGTGCTTACACTTATCAGTTTGACATTGGTTATTTGTCTTATGATTGTGCCTTTCTGTCATTGAAGGCATAACTGATTGATTACAATATGCCTTATGGGACTAAGTGGACCTCATTTGCTTCAGAGCTAGACAAAACAGGCCACTGAGAAAAATACTGAGCTGTGTCTAGTCATAGCTTGAGGCTGGCTTTTGTTTTTGTTTTTTCGATTTTCCTTCGTCAAGCAGCATAGTGCTTGAGATATGCTGTAAAGGGAGACAGATCTTTTACACTTCATTAAATAACTGAGTTTTAAGAATATGTTTATTTCTTTTGGAAAGAAATTATTCTTTACACAAATGTGTATGGGTTAAGGGTAGGTGTGTCTCTACTCTGTTGAATTGATAGGAGGAAGGACTGGCACAGGGTGAAGGAGCTGCTTCTGTCTTGTTGCAATCTAAGTTGTAAATGTTAATGAAGTCTTGTTTAACCTCAGGATATCCCAGAAGCTCCTGAGAGACTGATGACAGACACCATTAATGAACCAATCTTGCTGTGTCGATTTCCCGTGGAGATCAAGTCCTTCTACATGCAGCGATGTCCTGAGGATTCCTGTCTTACTGAATCTGTCAGTTTCTGTTTCAAAGAGTATTCATAATTTTGCTTTCTAAGGGGATGGGGACTGTCATCTGGAATCAGATACAGCTCATGGCAAATATATCATTCTCTATCTTAGAATGACAATATTTAAAGATGTTGGGTTTTTCCTCCTCCCCTGATTGAGGTTAACATGCTTGGTTAAATTAGAGCAATGTAAATATTTGAATATTACGTAATCATAGTGCCTCCTTTAGCCCTTGGAGCTTAATCGTAATTTTCATTTGAACTCTAGAGCAGTCCTGTGTCTGATCGCTTGAGAGTAATTGTGTATCTTCTTTCACTTACATTTAAAGGTCGACGTGTTGATGCCCAATGTTGGTGAGATTGTGGGAGGCTCAATGCGTACCAGCGATGCTGAAGAAATACTGGCAGGTTATAAAAGGGAAGGGATTGACCCTGCTCCCTATTACTGGTATACAGATCAGGTAAAACCAATTTTTTAAGCACTCAAAATTTTTTTCATTGTAATCATTCTGTATATATTGAAATTTTTAAAAGGGGAGAATTCAGGGTAGTACTTTGGTATTTGAATGAGCTGTATGTGTTCAGCTTCCAGGTTATAATAATGTGGTGTGTGAATATTGCCAGCTTTGTCTTGGCCAAGTTATATGTTGATTTCATTGGAAAACCTGTTTAACGCCTGGCTTGTTGATTGCAACTGAGTTTTTAAAAATTGATCCTACCAGTATCTAGTACCCTTCTTCATTTTCCTCTCATAAATAGACATTGACTTATTTTAAAAGTTTTTAAGAATTTCTTCTTTCCAGGGTGGTACTTATTCCCTGGTTGATTTTTCATACCAAATTATTTCATTACACATGGTTCATGAAGGCACAGAGATTAAGTGCTGAGATTACAGGCACAAGCCACTGAATCTGGCCGTAGTTGAATTCTTAACCACAGTGAGCTAACTCCTTTCATGGTGGAAAATCTTAACTACCTCAGATGAAATTTTTAACTAAGTATTTACTCCTCTTTCTTTCTTTCTTTCTTTCTTTTTTTTTTTTAAACAGAGAAAATATGGCACATGTCCACATGGAGGATATGGCTTGGGCTTGGAACGATTCTTAACATGGATTCTGAATAGGTATCACATCCGAGACGTGTGCTTATACCCTCGATTTGTCCAGCGCTGCACGCCATAACCAATTTCTCCAGAAGTGTGGAGGAAAGGTTATGAAAGGAACAGGCTCTTTAAAAAAGAAAACAAAAAGCCAGAATCTTCGTTTTTCTGTTTCATTGGGGTTTTCTCTGTCTGTGTTTCTTTCTACTACCATAAAAAGTACCTCAAATCACCTGAACATCGAGTTAAGGTTATCATCTTAAGAAAAAATATCCATTATGAAGTTTGGGGGAAATACCTGGCATGAAACTGTAGTTAGGGATACATTCCAGCATTTTATTCACTTTATTCAAGTTATTCATTTTATTCAAGTTATATGTATATATAATTCAACAATTTTAGATTATGATGTAAGATATTCCAGTAACTTAATCTATCTGTGTGTTTAAGTGTACCTGGAATTCTTTGATTTATTTTCTTGCATTAATGAGTTAAAGCAAAAATCTTGGGGGAAGAAATTGGCAATATGGTATAAAAATCTGCTCATATTAGAACACAGTATAATTCAGCAGCAGACACTAGAATCAAATGATAGTCTTTTGTATCAGTTATTAATCTTTTCTAAGTCTGCATAGCTGCTTATAATTCTGAGGCATACAAATTGATATGGAAGAATTTGTAAAAACAGAATTGCCTTAAAGGATTTGAAGTAAGAGCATAATTTTGGGGAGAGTTCTTTAGTGATTCACAATATCCCTCTTAGCATTAGTTTAAGGTAAAGAGGCAGACTGATGTTCCCTCTTTCCTGGTAATTCCTGAGTAATTAAGAATAAGTTCCAAAAGAATTTGTAGCTGGAATCTTAATAACAATTGTCAGTGGCTGTTTGAGTTGCCCCCACCATGTCCTTAGATCTAATCTGTGCTACCTTATTAACTCACAGCAGGCTTACTGAATGGCTTCATTTCAGATTTAGTTGATTTCTCCACCAAATGCATGTCATGTATTCTCAATAGGCTGTATTCTCAGCAGTCAATAAATGAATATCCGTAAAAACTCTTTGCTGGCATAATTTTCTTAAAGCTAAACATCTCTGTCACATTAGTTCATGCTTTTGCAATTATTTTATCTTTTTTATGATTATATATGTGAAATTAAGTACTACTAAATTTAGGTATTGCTAATGTTACATGGTGATGAGAAGGAATGATTTTTTAAAATTAGATATGTGGGTCATGGTTACATCTTTTTTGTAATCATTTTTGTGTTACTTTTGGAGACATTAGATTTTATCCTATTTTGCAATTAAGTGAAATGACAGGTCAAAATGAGGCATTTAGGCCGGGCGTGGTGGCTCACACCTGTAATCCCACCACTTTGGGAGACCAAGGCGGGTGGATCACCTGAGGTCAGGAGTTCAAGACCAGCCTGGGCAACATGGTAAAACCCTATCTCTACAAAAATACAAAAATTAGCCAGGCATGATGGTGGGTGCCTGTAATCCCAGTTACCCAGGAGACTGAGGTGGGTGAATCGCTTGAACTCGGGAGGCAGAGCTTGCAGAGAGCCAAGATCGCACCGTTGCACTCCAGCCTGGGCGACAGAGCAAGACTCTGTCTCAAAAAAAAAAAAAAAAAAGAAAAGGAAGAAATAAGGCATTTATAATCTATTCAGCCTGCATCTTTAAATAAAAAATGCTTGGAAGAATGTGAATGAGCTATAGATTCAACTAGGCAATTCATTTTATCAGAATTTAAGTGAAGAGGTTAGGCTCAGCCTAAATTTTAATGGTGTAAACAGGTCGAGAGTTTTAAAACAGGTTAAGGTATGGATAAGGGAGTTAAGGTCGTGACCTCAGGCCGAGAGACTGAGCGTGGTGAGCAGCAAACCTCACAGGTGTGGACTTCACTCCTTCGTTGTGTAGTTACTACCCTAATCCAGGTGTCACAGATGCCATCCTGCGTTCCATGGACAGCTCACAGACAACCCTACCCTCTCAGGACTCCCCATGTCTTGACTTTCTCCCTGAAACTCCCTGCTTTTTATACCAAAAACCCCCTTCACCTTTGGCACTTGTGTGACCTGCTCAGTTTTGGAGACAAATCAGGAGGCTAATTCAATTGCTTAAGTATCAACTTGCCCTCTTAAATGTCCTTCAGCCATTTCAAGTGACCCAGTTTCCCACCTTGCCGTTCAGTCCCTGCCATCTTGCTGCCTTGTAACAGTTCCTAAAAATGTCCTTAATACGTGGAGTAGTTCAACTCTGTGAGGAAGCAATCTCGGCAGAACATTGGGGTCATTTGGGGACCTCAAAAATAATGGTGTTTGGGCCTTACCCCAGACCAGTTGAATGTGAATTTCAGAAATGGGACCGGGGTATTTTTTAAAAGCTCCCCAGGGGAGGTTGTTGCACAGTGAGGTTGACAGTCGCCAGGTAACTTCCTCCTCCTCCTAAACTCAACCTTAAGCCTCTCTTATTGCTGTAGGTTCTCTCTTGATTTCATATTAATCTCTGTAGTTGAAATGGGAACACTGAGGCAGGGCTGAGAAACTTTAAAGCTTGAATTTTGAACTGCCATAGAATCAGTATATTTCATCCAGCCCTTCTGGGAAAAAAGAAGGGATGTCATGATATACAAATACTGCAATTTCTAGTATTTGGAAATTGCTGGTTAATGATTCAGTTTCCTTCTACCTTATGGATCGTAACCAACGTGATGATCAGGTGAGGAACATCTTTGAAGAGATTGATAAACTTGGTATGTGGGACAAAGACTAGTTTCTAGAGTCGAAGTCAAGTTTGATTGGATATAACTTGTCTTAGTACCCCAACTTACAGAAATGGTGTTCAAAAGTTTTAGCTTTTTTTCAGTATTTACCTCCATATTGCTAAATAACAGACTTATATTACTTCATTGATTTTTCAGTTTTAGGCGTTATTTATTGCCCTTCTCTGGCATATGACTATTTCATTTCTTCCTTTTCCTATCCCCACCATTCGTGTTCACCCTTCTCATCTCCCCAACTGTATTAGGCTGTTTTGGGGTTGCTATAAAGAAATAACCTGCAGCTGGGTAATTTACAAAGAAAAGTGGTTTATTTTGGCTTACCGTTCTGCAGACTGTACAGGAAGCATGCTGTTGCCATCTGCTTCTGGTGAGGCCTCAGGAAACTTCCAATCATGGCAGAAGGCCAAGGGGGAGCCAGCATATCACATGATGAGAGGGAGCAAGAGATGGGGGAGGTGCCACACTCTTAAGCAACCAGATCTGCTGTGAACTCAGTGCAAGAACTTACATATCACTTCATGAGGAGCACCAAGCCATTTATGAGGGATCCGTCCCCATGACCACCACCTCCCACCAGGCGCCCCCTCCAACACTGGAGATTGCATTTCAACATGAGACGTGGAGGGGACAAACATTCAAACCATGTCGTCATATTTCCAACTTAGTTCAATTATAATTTTAGTTGGGTGCGTAGTTCACAATAATTGCTTTTCTCTTTCTGCCCAACTTTTTATTTTCCCTATAATAAATTTGTCTTATTTTTTTCCTTTAGTAATTGAATCACAAAAGATGTTCGCATATATTGGGTTGTCTATCAGTTACTTCTTCCCGTCTTCTGGAGCCTTTGCCTGCTTTAATTTGAACGAGTTGCCCTCTAGGAACACAGTTGTCATCTTGGGATCTTTCATGACCATCCTGGGTGTTCCCTTCACCTTTTTTTTTGTACTGGACATCTTGTTTCCTGTGTTTTCCAGTTTACATCCTCACTGTGGTTGGGCACATCCTCTGGTAATTTTTTTTTTTTTTTTTTTTTTTTGAGACGAGGTCTGGCTCTGTTGCCCAGGCTGGAGTGCAGTGGCATGATTTTGGCTCACTGCAGCCTCCACCAACTGGGTTCAAACAATTCTGCCTCAGCCTCCCAAGCAGCTGGGATTACAGGCGTCTGCCACCACGCCCAGCTTATTTGTGTGTTTTTAGTAGAGACGGGGTTTTACCACATTGGCCAGGCTGGTCTCAAACTCCTGAACTCAGGTGATCTGCCCGCCTCGGCCTCCCAAAGTGCTGGGATTACAGGCCCGGGCCACTGCTCCCGACTGTCCGGTAATTTTTGAGAAAGGGTTCATGGAAGGTAAATTCACTGAGACCTTCTTTGTCTAAAAATGTTTTAAATCTATCTTCACATACTCTCCGTAAAGAATTGTGGGTTAGAAAACATTTTCCAGTGGGGTGCAATAACTCATGCCTGTAATTCCAGCACTTTGGGAGGCCAAGGTGGGAGGATTGCTTGAGGCCAGGTGTTTGAGACCTGGTCTCTTTTTTTTTTTTTTTTTTTTTTGAGACAGAGTCTCACTCTCACCCAGGCTAGAGTGCAGTGGTGTGATCTTGGCTCACTGCAACCTCCGCCTCCCGGGTTCAAGTGATTCTCATGTCTCAGCCTTCCAAGTAGCTGGAACTACAGTCACAAGTCACCATCCCTGGCTAATATTTTGTATTTTTAGTAGAGACGGGGTTTTGCCATGTTGGCCAGACTGGTGCGAGACCCAGCCTCTACAAAAAAATTAAAATATTAGCTAGGTGTGATGGTGCACCCACTTTTAATCCTAGTTACTTGGGAGGCTGAGGCAGGAGGATCTTTTGCCCTGAGGAGTTTGAGGCTATAGGGAGCCATGATTGTGTCACTGTACTCCAGCCTGGGTGACAGAGTGAGACCCTGTCTCTAAAAATAATAATAAAATTTTTCCTTCAGAATTTTGAAGTTTGGCTTTCTGGTGGTGTTATTGAGAATTCCTAAGCATTCTGATACATGAGCTTAGTTCAGTGTCTGATATTTCATGATAATATGTATTGAGACTATCCATTCTAATTGGCCCTTTCAATACAGAAAGTCATGCCCTTCAATTGTGAAAAAGTTTCTTAAATTATTTCATTAAAGATCTCCCCTCTGATTTTTTGTTTTCTTTCTACAACTGCTACATACTAGACCTCCTCCTTTCAATTTTCTTCCTTCTCCTTTCTCTCTCTCTCTCTCTCTCTTTTTGAGACAAATTATCACTCTGTCGCTGAAGCTGGAGTGTAGTGGCATGATCATAGCTCACTGCAGCCTCGAACTCCCGGGCTCAAGTGATCCTGCCTCAGCCTCCTGGGTAGCTGGAACTATAGGTGCATGCAGCACACTCAGCTAATTTTTAAAATTATCTGTGCTGGTCTTGAATTCCTGGCTTGAAGCAATCTTCTCACCTTGGCCTCCCAAAGCACTGGTATTACAGTGGGAGCCACCACACCTGGCCCTTATCTTTATTTTATTTTGACAGAGTTTTGCTCTTGTTGCCTAGGCTGGAGTGCAGTGCAATGGCATGATCTCAGCTCACTGCAACCTCTGCCTCCCGGGTTGAAGCAATTCTCCTGCCTCAGCCTCCCAGGTAGCTGGGATTACAGGCATATGGCACCATGCCCAGCTAATTTTCGTATTTTTTTAGTAGAGATGGGGTTTCACTGTGTCCGTCAGGCTGGTCTCAAAATCCTGACCTCAAGTGATCCACCTGCCTCAGCCTCCCAAAGTGCTGGGAATACAGGCTTGAGCCACCGCGCCTGGCCATCTTCTTTATTGAGCTGCTAATTTGGGGAGTTTTCCTCAACTCTTCCCCAGTCCTTTGATTGAGTACTTTATTTCTGTTAACCATAGTAAAAACATATTTTTTAAAATCCTTATTCTGGTTTCAGAAAGTTCTATCTTTAGTTTTTTTATCTAAGTTTTCTAGTTTTCTTCCTGTATCATTCCCGTTTCCTCCATGTTGGGTTGCCTTTTTTCTTTTTTTTTTTTTTTTTCCTGCTTTGTTTGGTCTCTGGTTTTCCTGTTAGAGGCTTTCTTCAGATGGCAGGTGCTGCTTGGTTATCTGCTGATAATTCAGAGATAATTCAGGATAGGAGATTAAAATGTCCATTGGATGCTCCAAGCATGTGAATAGATGTGAGCCTTACTGTAAGCTATCTGCCCTAGGCGGGCTAGCAGGGGAGGCCCATGCCAATTGTCTGTTAGGTCTTTCTTCTTAG